CTCCCGGTCGCGGCCGACTACGACAGAGCCTGGATTCGAACCAGGATCTCTAGTTGCACAGCTAGCACTGCGGGGATGTAGCTCAGTTGGTAGAGCATGGCGTTTGCAATGCCAGGGTTGTGGGTTCGATTCCCACGGGGGGCCAGTATGAACAAATACAAATCATGTATGCACTCACTAACTGTAAGTCACTCTGGATAAGAGCGTCTGCTAAATGACTAAAATGTAATGATCGTTTATACACAATTTTAGGTTGGTCTCAGTCTCATGACCGGCTATGAAAGAAACAGACTGACTGTTTGCCCTGTCCTCTTAGTTATAGGGGAGTAAATTTGAGCATTTAATTGCGTTTTGGCTTGATTTTGGCTACATTATTTTGTGTGATGAAGGTAATTAATTAATATTATATTTTTGTCCAGTGTAAATATGAGCACCCCACTGTTTTTGCAACTGCACCTGCCTAAATAAATTCCACCTTAGCACTTGAAGTCCTGCTTCCACATGTGCCTTACCATCTCCTTTGGATGCCAGGTCCTGGTACATTCTTATCAATGCGACAGTAAAATACAATTTGTTCATTGATTCATTCTACATGTTGTTGAGTGCACTATACTGTTACTTGGCCTCGGATCATCCCCTCATTTCCTTTTTGTCCTCTACCAGGCAATCTGTTTGTGGTCCTAACTTATGGACATCCATAAGTTAAACAATCTTTCTTGTTACCCAAACGGCGCATTAATCAAGTTAATGTCCCACATCGAAGTGTCTCTTCCTCTCCTTGTTCTCTCACTCTGTCTCCCTATCCACCCTTTCCCTCCTCCCCTCTCATCCCTTCCTCCCCCATTTTGGTATATTTATCCAGCCCGTTGAGAAAAGCTCAATTGTTTCAGCAGACGAGCCACATAAAGTGCCATTAGAAATGTATCACAACATTGGCTAATGTTTTCTTTGCCCATTGTTGAGCACCTCTAGGACGAGAAGAATAACTAATTCATTTCCAGGCCATTTGCAGTCATTTCCCCCCCTCCTCCTTTTCCCAGACTCTTGTTCCGCTTTCCTGCAGGAGTCACAGCTCATCAGAGCTCCGACTGCATGAGGATTTATTTAGGAACGGGGGACCCAGACCCACGGCATCATTTTTTATAATTTGGTTTCTTTAGACACCATACCTTGTTCTTCTGTGCGTAATGCCCCCCGACTTGTGCTATTACGGCTCATGATTACTGAACCGAAATCCATCTTTTTCGGAATGGGCTTCTGAAGAAGAAACAAGGAAACGTTTCTGTTTGTAAATTGTATCTTCTCCGGGCGACTCTCTTTCCCACATTTTCTGTTTCTTCGCCTTTGTCTCGAACTCAGCCAATAATGTTGAAGTGAAGATGGGCCCCTCGCTGTATTTTGTGCTGCCATTTCTATCATGTGTACAAACAGCAGACATACTAACTCATCCTTCATCCTGTCTAAACTTAATCACTGATAGTGGAGTTTGAACTGTGGGCCATGCACTGTGTGTTGGAAGCTTCAATGTACAGTGGCTTGCGAAAGTATTCACCCCCCTTGGCATTTTCCTATTTTGTTGCCTTACAACCTGGAATTAAAATAGATTTTTTTGGGGGTTTGTATCATTTGATTTACACAACATGCCTACTACTTTGAAAATGCAAAATATTTCTTATTCCTTCAATTCTGACCAGTTTCCCAGTCCCTGCCGATGAAACACATCCCCACAGCATGATGCTGCCACCAACATGCTCTCGGATGGTGCTCTCAGGGTGATGAGAGGTGTTGGGTTTGCGCCAGACATAGCGTTTTCCTTGATGGCCAAAAAGCTCAATTTTAGTCTCATCTGACCAGAGTACCTTCTTCCATATGTTTGGGGATTCTACCACATGCCTTTTGGCGAACACCAAACGTGTTTGCTTATTTTTGTATTTTCTGGCCACTCTTCCATAAAGCCCAGATCTGTGGAGTGTATGGCTTAAAGTGGTCCTATGGACAGATACTCCAATCTCCGCTGTGGAGCTTTGCAGCTCCTTCAGGGTTATCTTTGGTCTCTTTGTTGCCTCTCTGATTAATGCCCTCCTTGCCTGGTCCGTGAGTTTTGGTGGGCGGCCCTTTCTTGGTAGGTTTGTTGTGGTGCCATATTCTTTCAATTTTTTAATAATGAAATTAATGGTGCTCCGTGGGATGTTCAAAGTTTCAGATATTTTTTTATAACCCAACCCTGATCTGTACTTCTCCACAACTTTGTCCCTGACCTGTTTGGAGAGCTTCTTGGTCTTCATGGTGCCGCTTGCTTGGTGGTGCCCCTTGCTTAGTAGTGTTGTAGACTCTGGGGCCTTTCAGAACAGGTGTATATATAATGAGATCATGTGACAGATCATGTGACACTTAGATTGCACACAGGTGGACTTTATTTAACTAATTATGTGACTTCTGAAGGTAATTGGTTGCACCAGATCTTATTTAGGGGCTTCATAGCTAAGGGGGTGAATACATATGCACGCACCACTTTTCCGTTATAGATTTTTTTACATTTTTTGAAACAAGTTATTTTTTTCATTTCACTTCACCAATTTGGACTATTTTGTGTATGTCCATTACATGACATCCAAATAAAAATCAATTTAAATTACAGGTTGTAATGCAACAAAATAGGAAAAACGCCAAGGGGGATGAATACTTTTGCAAGGCACTATAGATGAGTTTACCAGGGATTGAAGTCACAGCTGGCTAAGTTTTCAGTTTAGCCACAGTTGTTTTTCAACTTGTCTTCACGAGCCGTGGAGGAGACAGAGAGCCTAGGGATTCAAGGAACACAGTTTTATAGTACTTTTTTCTGTGTATGATGGGCCTTGCGAACAACCACAACAACACTTAAACAATGTAATGAAAAACACTCAACAATCATCCAACTATCACTGGAATGTGGTGCAATTCCTGTGTCGATTCCTGTGTCGACAGAATAATATAGATAATTCCGTTTTAGGACGATAGAAGTGTGGTTTTCAGCAGTGACACGCCGTAGTAACCGTAACGGAACTACAGTTTAAGAGATCTACTCGGTCTCATCATTCCCTACATTTCAATCCTTTTCTTCTTCTCCTCCATCTTCTCTTTTAGTTTTCTCTTCTACCTCTGAGATTGGGCGGGTTGCATGTCCATCGGAATCTATATGTCTTGCCCAGGGAAAGCAGCTGTCACTCACAGTACATTTCAGATATCATGGCGGTTGAGAAAAAAGACATACAGTATATCACCATATGGACATCGGAGCTCTGCAAAGCAATCCCAGTAAAATGAGAAGAGACACACAGTTCACAGTGTTAATAGGTTTTCTCCCACCAGCGAACAAACAAACACACAGACAAGAGAGGAGAGGAGAGGGGGATGAAAGCTGAGTGGCAAGGGAGGGGCGAAGAGCAAGGGTCACTGGACGGGGTGATGAATGACTACAAAGGCAAGGCGGAATCAAATTGCAAATGAGCCTGAGCCAAAGAGCACTTGTCTCCCAGTAGACATGTTTGAAGCTGGAAGAGAGAGAGGAGGATGGAGGGAGGAAGAAGAGTGAGTGAGATGGGGGATAGAGACAAAAGGGGAGGGGTGGAGAGAGGAAGGTGTGGTGAGGGAGGGAGAGAGAGACAGGAAGAGTGAGTGAGTGAGGATGAGTGATTGTGAGGGAGATGAGACCGAGAGGGGGGGGGGGGGGGGAGAGAATGGTGTGGAAAAAGAGAATGAGGGAATGAGGGAACTCAATGGAGCGAATGAGAGGTAGACCAGAGGGAGGGAGTGATTGGGAGCAGCTGAAAAATATGTCTATATGATATCTTAATTTCCTCGTTTTCCATCACGTCAACCATATGCGATATGACGAGGACAGGCACAGGGCAGGTGGGGCCCCACACGTTGGGGGCCTCAATCTCTCCTCCTCTCTTACTCTCATCCCTTTCTCCTCCTCTCCACCAGCCACCCATGGAGCAGCCTCTGTCATCACACTTAAAGCTCCTATAGACCCTGAGGTCTTTGTTCATCATTCACGTTGATGATGATGTTCCTTTGAAGAGGAAATGGTTTGCCTGTATTTTGCAGATGTTACAGTGTGTGTACATACAAATCTTTATTACTGTCATTCACTTATTCTGGTGGCACACCAACAATACTGTTGGGTCTGTGTATTTTGTTTGGATTTTCTGTGTCTTAGTCTACAGTGTATCTATTTGTAATTGTAATGTGTTGAATGTCCTTCTGGAAGGTTCTCCCATCTCCACAGAGGAACTCTGGAGCTCTGTCAGAGTGACCATCGGGTTCTTGGTCACCTCCCTCACCAAGACCCTTGTCCAACGATTGCTCAATTTGGCCGGACGGCCAGCTGTAGGAAGAGTCTTGGTGGTTTCAAACTTCTTCCATTTAAGAATGATGAAGGCCACTGTGTTCTTGGGGGCCTTCAATGCTGCAGAAATGTTTTGGTACCCTTCACCAGATCTGTGCCTCGACACAATCCTGTCTCGGAGCTCTACGAACAATTCCTTCGACCTCATGGCCTGGTTTTTGCTCTGACATGCACTGTCAACTGTGGGACCTTATATAGGCAGGTGTGTGCCTTTCCAAATCATGTCCAATCAATTGAATTTACCACAGGTGGACTCCAATCAAGTTGTAGAAACATCTCAAGGATGATCAATGGAACAGGATGCACCTGAGCTCAATTTTGAGTCTCATAGCAAAGGGTCTAAATACTTATGTAAATAAGGTATTTCTGTTTTTTATAAATCCGCAAAAAAATCTAAAACCTGTTTTCGCTTTGTTGTTATGGGGTATTGTGTGTAGATTGCTGAGATTTTTTAAATATATTTTTAATCCATTTTAAAATAAGGCTGTAATGTAACAAAAAGTGGAAAAAGTCAAGGGGTCTGAATACTTTCCGAAGGCTCTGTATCTTTCTCTCTTCACATCCCTCCTCTCCCGCCCATACAGATGTGTTCTCCATCTTCTTGGCTCTGATGGTGGCCAGCCTGCTAGAGACTATTCTCATTACCAACCTCCTGGTTGGCTCCAGTAACTTCCAACGGTGCCTGGCAGGGTCCGAGTGCTCGTCCTGCGCTTAATGGGCACCCTCATCTGCCTGCCTCAGAAACCAAGAGAGAACACAGTCATCCTTAATCCAGTTGCAGAAGGTACCCCTGATCTGATCCCTCCAGTGGAGAGTTGCCATTACACTGTCTTTCAGTCAATTAGATGATATTCTAGTTTAACCCAAAGCAATACAGTGAAAAAACATAAAATCATAGGCCTGAACAGTAACATAAATGCAGATATCAGTCTGAGAAATGTGTCCAGTTGTTTGACTAGGTCAGCCCTTAGACATCATTTTACCATCCACGTTAATTACATTTACATTTACAATTTAGTCATTTAGCAGACGCTCTTATCCAGAGCGACTTCCAGTTAGTGAGTGCATACATTTTCATACTAATCAATGATATCGGTCTATAAGAGTTACATTCATAATTTCACCCTTCCTTCTCTCTTGTCTCATAAACAGGAGTAAAAGTATTCCATCTAGTAATGGTAGAGAGCCATGTTCAACTGGAAGAACCAGGTGAGAAAGAACCAGAGGCAGGCTATCCAGCCTTGGCGGGGCTAAGGAAGCTGGGCAAAGACCTGCAGGCCATCCGCCTCTAGGTGGCCTTGCACGTGGATGGGAACGAGATCTCCCAGGACTGGATGCAGGTGGGCTACATCATCGACCGGCTGCTGTTCAGTGTCTACTGACTCTTCATCTCCTGCAGCTTCATCGCCATCATCAACATCTGGATTATGACTTACAACCAGTGATGAAGTGATAAAACAATAGATAAACACCATTTGTGGTGAATAAAGTAATGCTTCCTATATTTTAAATGCATTTTTCCACAATATGTGGCTAAACGTAAGCGCAAGACTTAGGAGTCGGCCATGTTGTTGACTGCTCTGAGTGGTTGGGTTTAATAATTTTTACCTTATGATTACCATCATTTTAATTGTTTGTTTTATCTTCTGGCTGCACTGAGTAGGTGTGTTGACTTAAGTTACCATAATATTGATATTCATTCGTGTGAGTGGCCAATAAATATTTTTAGTAACTCTATATATAAAGCGCCACTGGTCGCCCCAGGATACTTTTTTTGACTAAACAGAGGTGAGGAGCGTCTTTGAACAAAGCTGAGCCGTGTGGTAAAAAAAATATATATATTGCGCGTGCAATGTATGAGGGTTAAAAAAACTGTATTGCTTGTTTGCAGTAACTTCTTTGTTGTTGTAATATCCAAAACGGACGTGGCAGTTTCACCATTAAGGATTCCAGCTTTAATAGAGTAACTGTAGATTTAGCCTAATCACTTCATTGACTAATTAGCCTAATCCTTTTTCTTTATCAAATAAACATACTTTCACGAAAACTGTTCATACTGTTTCATTACTAACACGAAACATTTTGCCACTAGTTTGTTTTCGTGCCTCCCTCTCCCCTCAACCCCCCAGGTGTTGTCTTTGGCATGTGGGGAGGAGAGAGAGCAGCAAAGATCTGGTGCTAAGAACAAAGACATGCAGTTAGTGTATATAGTAAGCCTATTAAACACAGCTCACTGCATGCCTCAAGACATGGAAATCAAATTCAAGCATTTCCTACTTTGACAATTATTCTTCAACCGAAACCGATCTTTTTCCGATGCTCACTCCCTACCTCCCTTTTCCCAAGCAGACCTGCCCACAGCTTTGATGCCCTATCTATAGGAATCTTGACTTGTTTACAATCCTTTCCACATTTCACCACATACCATTAACACTCTGTGTACTGTAATCCCAGCTATTTTACAGCTTGCCTGTCCTCTCTATATTGAAGCTGTGTCCCAAATGGCACCATATTCCAGCTTACATAGTGCACAACTTTTCACCAGAGCCCTATGGGCCCTGGTAAAAAGTAGTGCACTATACAGTATAGGGAATAGAGTGCGTTTTGGAACGCAGAAGTATTCAGACCCCTTCGCTTTTTCCACATTTTGTTACGTTACAGCCTTATTTTAAAATGTACAAAATTATTTTTCCCCTTATCAATCTACACACAACACCCCATAATGACAAAGAGAAAACATTTTTTTTTTTTTTTTTTTTTTTGCAAATGTATTAAAAATAAAAAACCAAAATACATTATTTACATAAGTATTCAGACCCTTTGCTATGAGACTCGAAATTGAGCTCAGGTACATCCTGTTTCCATTGATCATCCTTGAGATGTTTCTACAACTTGATTGGAGTCCACCTGTGGTAAATTCAATTGATTGGACATGATTTGGAAAGGCACACACCTGTCTATATAAGGTCACATAGTTGACAGTGCCAAGCCATGAGGTCAAAGGAATTGTCCGTAGAGCCAAACTGAGCAATCGGAGGAGAATGGCCTTAGTCAGGGAGTTGACCAAGAACCCGATGGTCACTCTGACAGAGCTCCAGAGTTCCTCTGTGGAGATGGGAGAACCTTCCAGAAGAACAACCATCTCTGCAGGACTCCACCAATCAGGCCTTTATGGTAGAGTGGCTAGACGGAAGCCACTCCTCAGTAAAAGGCACATGACAGCCTGAATGGAGTTTGCCAAAAAGGCCCCTAAAGGACTCTCAGACCATGAGAAACAAGATTCTCTGGTCTGATGAAACCAAGGTTGAACTCTTTGGCCTGAATGCCAAGCGTCACTTATGGAGGAAACCAGGCTCCGCTCATCACCTGGCCAATATGATCCCTACGGTCAGTGGCGGCTCCTGAAAAAATTCTCAGGGGGGGCAATTTTTCTGATGATTTAGGTGACCTACACACATTTTAAAAAAGATATGTCCAGCAACAACATGAAGACAGGGGCAGCATATAAGTCAATACCAGAAGCATTTATTGACTGATCTCAAAAGTGTTGGCTTACCAGGGTTGGTGGAGCCCTCAGTTTCATCTTTGCCTCGCAAAGCTAACTCAAACACTCCGCAAAACTTCACACACTGGATTAGCCGGCTGAGGATGTGGCGGTTCTTGCTAATGTCGTAGTAAATATATTTGTTATAGTGAATATGGAATATGATATGTTGAGTAAAATGTTGTGCTAAGATCTATTTAGGTCAGGAGCTTGTTATAAGTTCTGTTCCTATCCAATAACAATGGACAAAAGGGTCCTATCTTGTCAGCCTTGTCAGTTTCAGTTCTCCAGTAAACTTGTGATTATCAACACTAACCTCATCGTTGTGGCGGCGGACAGCTAGCCTGTATCCCTCATCCAGTTGAGTGGGAATGTTCACTCTCCCCAAAGCAGACAATCTCAAACAGCTATCCATGTGGGTCTTTGACAGCTCATGTTTCTTAATCTTTCCTGAAAGATGGTGCATGTCCGTTACACACCAGTCGCTGTCCAAGCGGTGCTGTCTGCCGTGCCGCCTTCAGGGTGAAAGAGTAAGCAGGGGGTAGCAGAAGACTGCATTAGCTACATCGCAGCCTGCTAGCCAGGTTTTTCGTTCCTACCAATTTTTGGAAAATCCTCGGGTGTAGGACTTCCCCCCTTTAGTAGAAACCTGTTGAATTATTAAATTTGGTCTGGGAGGTCCTAATTGTTTCGTTGCCAATTTATCTTCATTTGTTCGCCGACAAAAAGGAACTTCTTTCAAAGACACAATCGAGTTGCACTGAAGCCTAGCCATTTTGATAGAAGTAGTGAATTGATTGACGCTGCTACCCGCTCTTTTCTTAGTTACGTTCATGGTTATATGTTACGTATGACGAAAGCGCGTAAGTGCAAGCCCTCAGAAACCCATAGAGATTGTATTGAAAGCTCTGATATTTGAAAAAAATAGATTTTACATGGGAGTCTATGACAGACTTCTGGGCGATTTTCAACCTGACTGAAATCGCCCCAAAAGGGGGGGGGGGCATTTGAAGCACGACTTTAGCCTGATTGGACATTTAGTGGCACTGTGGCAGATCAGACGTCTAGATTACAACACTGATAACTACTGTTGCCGTGATATAATTGATTAGAAAAAAAATCCCTTCCTTTTCCCGTTTGGCAGTGCGTCGCCCATATCGCCCTATTGAACACACTGCCCCTGCCTACGGTGAAGCATGGTGGTGGCAGCATCATGCTGTGGGTATGTTTTTCAGTGGCAGGACTGGAAGACTAGTCAGGATAGAGGGAAAGATGAACGGAGCAAAGTACAGAGAGACCCTTGATGAAAACCTGCTCCAGAGCACTTAGGACATCAGACTGTGGTGAAGGGTCACCTTCCAACAGGACAACGACCCTAAGCACACAGCCAAGACAACGCAGGAGTGGCTTTGGAACAAGTCTCTGAATATCCTTGAGTGGCCCAGCCAGAACCCGGACTTGAACCCGATCGAATATCTCTGGAAAGACCTGAAAATAGCTGTGCAGCAACGCTCCCCATCCAACCTGACAGCTTGAGAAGATCTGCAGAGAAGAATGGGAGAAACTCCCCAAATACAGGTGAAGCTTGTAGCGTCATACCCAAGACTCAAAGCTGTAATCGCTACCAAAGGTGCTTCAACAATGTGCTGAGTAAAGGGTCTGAATACTTATCTCTCAAGATTGATGAGGGAAAAAAACAATTATTATTAATCTGTTTTAGAATAAGTCTAACGTAACAAAATGTGGAAAAAGTGAAGGGGTCTGAATACTTCCCGAATGCACTGTATATAAGGACTAATTTGAATATTACATGCAGATCACTGTCATACATTGTATGCTGTTGTGTGATTCACGGCTGTTGTGTAAACCGAGCAGGTATGATAAAGACGCCAGCCTGTGCTACTTGGTGGGCTACAGCTACAGCTGTAAATGACAGACTTTTTAATTTCACCATGATGTGTGTGTGTGTGTGTGTGGGAGAGAGAGAGAGAGAGAGAGTGTGTGCGTGCGTGCGTGTGTGTAAGTGTGAATATGTGCCCGCAAGTGTATGTGTTTTGTATCGACGTGTTCTTTATGTCAGTTTACGCTTCTCCGTATGCGCTTTGTAAAAGAATGATCATATCTCTCTGTGCGTTTCGGTCTATATTGCTTTTATGTGTAATATGTTTTGTTATGTTCATATGTGTGCGCCCGCATGTTTCTACGTCTTAAGCTTCCCAGGGTATTACACATTCGGCCATAGTATTGAGAACAATTCACCGGTGAAGAAGCACTTAATAATACTAGAGCTATCCAGCTACAGAGATACAGATGCCCTGGAGGTAGCTAGCCACCGCTCTCTGGGCCTGTCCCAAATGGCACCCTATTCCGTATATAGTGCACAACTTCTATAGTGCACTATATAGGGAAGTAGTGCACTATATAGGGAATAGGGTGCCATTTGGGGCGCAGACCCTATCTGCTTGGTCCTCTACAGCAGGAGGAACCGCCGTAGCCTCACTCAAGTACATATTTGCATATAGATCCTAATAATCAGATTGTCCTCAAGCTGCAATCGTGCTGCCTTTGAAAAGTGCTGCCCATAAACCTCACTGTTATCCTCCACCGCCCCCAGTCCCCAAGGCTTAGTTTAAAGTATACATTCTCCATTCTCCAACTAGACCCATATTGGATTCCTCGCCTAGACTCTGTGTTCGTGTTGCAGGTTTGTCTAGGCCTACCTCTATGCCTTTTTGCAGAGAAGTTGAG